CTGGTATTCCCTGCTTTCAGCCAAGATCCATCTAACATCAGCTACAATATCTCTAGTACTACGACCCCTTCTAAACCCAGCCTGGACTTCTGGTAATGTAGCATACTTCAACAAATCACAGACTATCTAGCAACTCTTCATTAAAGAATAAGACAAATGTACTAGCTTAATAACAACTTGTGGAATAATGCAAATGTACATGCTTAACAACTGACCAAAAATGTGGCACTTCAAAACCCCACCAAGGAGCACTTTGAGAGACAAGTCTAGATATCCACCTCCAAAAAAATCTTAGCAATGAAAACTTTTGGGAGCTCTGTTCTACTCTGAAGCACATGGCACTATGTAAGTCAAAACCAACATGGTCTGGTAAATAGCACGCATTTGTTGCACACAATCTGCAAATGGGTAAAAGAAAACGAAATACTTTCAGACAGGTAAGACATGACCTCACACCACTTAACCCTCACCCTCCCAAAAAAAGTTCACATTTTTATGACTGGTCAATAGATCCAACTGAAAGGAAACTGGGAAATACAAAACAGCTGAAAATAAGAGCTCTCATGTCCCCTGAGAAGATAGACCAGTCATGTCTGGGAGAAGTGAAGGAACTATGTCATTTTCAGTTTAGGTGAGGGTCTACTGCTCCTCGTGTACTTGCTATATACCTAGTTTCCACAAAGACTGACAAAAAGGCCAGGAGATCTAAGTACGGATATACTGTTGAGATACCTGTTGCCTTCGTTTTTCCTCTTCAAGAGCAGCTTTGGTTTCTGCTTCTTTCATCTGTTTATATACATTTAAAAGTAAATTAATGCTGTAATTATAAAATCTTAAAATTTTACCAGATTCCCCTAACTGTAATAATTTTTTGAGAGCTTTGTATCAGAAATCATTAAGAGAAAAGAAAATGTTATACTGAAAAAAGTCACTATCTAATGAATTTAGCAGGAAAAGAAGTATCATCTTTTAGTAACATTTCAGTTTAACATCTATGAGTTACTATATTTCTAGACAACTACTAACTACCACTACTTCTCTAAAGTAGAAATGGATCATTTGCCTTTAATGTCCTAAGTGGAGTCCTTATTTTTCAACAAAATCAAGAGTTTAATCCATTAATTAGGTTGATAGAAATAAACAGTGAGACTAAAGAAAAAAGTGAACTGGGGGGTTAGGGAGAAAAATGGGCAACAATTAAGAATGGAAATCCAAGTTTTCTGTAAACTTTCATTAAAATATCAGTTTAAAAAAGGGAAAAAAGGTACCCCAAAAAACCTCTGAAATATCTTATTTTTGTACCATTTAAATCTAAATTTTCAGAAGGCGTAGCTCATGGTATGATTAACAATTACGTCCCCAGTTGAGTATACACATTAATTGATATAGCAGATGGAAAGCCAGGTAATAAAAACATGCCAAGATTCTTAAAAAGTCTGTATAATTAGGATTTTGTTACAAGAGCAAAGAGACCAAATTTTAAGTTATGTTTTTAATAGGCACATAGAGAAACATTAACTGCCATGTAATAATAAAGCACCATTAGTACATTACAAATGATATTTAAGAAAACATTACCTCAGATGCTTTCCGCTTCATTTCTTTGCATGTTGCATCACATTCTATTGAAACCTGATTTTCTCGTACTTTATTGCACTGCAAATCCTAAAAATAATCCAAATACTAGATTTTAAATAAGGATTTTCTCAAAGCCCTAATTGTATGTCATTTAAAAAGCAAAAATTCTCAATTTTAATATTAAATCCTAATAAACATGACTCAGAAAAAGGTCAGGTGTGCACATTCAAATTCAAAAGTTACTGACCCAGGAAAGTATACTAGGAGCTGTGAAAAGAAATGAAAAGCAAAGTACCAATAGAAAATTCAAAGTATTTGTTGGATGGATACAGAAGAAGAGTGAACCCTCTAAGGGAAAGAATAAGGACGCCACAGGAGAAAGCAGGGTTCAGATCCACTGTTCATGGGGTCGCTAAGAGTCCTACTCAACTTGACGACTCCTAATTACAACTAAGGGAAAGAATTTGAAGAGAAGAAAAATGAATACAGACACAAATTAGGGAATGCCCTTAGAAATGCAAAGGAGGAAAACACCTTCAAAAAACCCAAATTGAAACAGAGTAATCAATTAAGAAAGGAACCATGTTAAAGGAGTCAAAATTGTCAACAGGGAGGTCAAGGGAAATGAGAACTAAATCAAAAGTCCATTAGGACACTGACATTTGAGAACTGAATGGAGCTCTTTTTATCATGAATTCTGTTGAACAGTTTCTTCCCATTATCCTTCCCATCCTTTGTTTTTGACCTTTATTCTTCCATTGCTACTTTCTTTCTTCCACTGCTGTTGAGCTGGGACCAGCTCACTGATGACCCTCTTGCAAATTTCTGGGGCTGTGAATCTGTAAATCCCATGGGATGGGAACAGCCATCTTTCTCCTGAGGAATCACCAGTGGACGTGAACTGCCAGAGATTTGGTCAGCATCACAACTTTCCAGGGGACTACACCACTGGAGTTTCCTATATCACTCTTTCATCCTAAAATGACTTCTGAGTTTGAATTTGAATAAAACTGTGCAAATGAGGTGTACATTTTCAAAGCAAAAATTTCAAAGGAACACACTAATGGCAAAAACCAGTATCACAAACTGCAGCAATAAAGGTTAAATCTAGATCATTTCTTAAACCATTAAATTCACTTCATCATTCATATTTGATTTTATCTAGAGCACAGTTAATTCTATCCAAAAAGGGGCAATGAACTTGATTTCAACTTAATTTTTCTTCTTGGACTGTAGAAAACTGAACTGCCAAACTGATTTACAAAATAAGGAAGCTCTTGTAGCCTAGCAGCAAACTTTCAAAACTGATTTATAAAATAAGCATTTACAGAAATGGGTATTTTTAACACATTGCTGCAAATGACGGTAATTCATTGGGGAAAAAAATGTGTTTCTAGGCACGGGTGTCAATTTAAAAGTGTGCGCCAACGTGTTAGGATAACAGAATTAATACTTCGGAATAACATCAGAATATTGGAAAGGATAGTTCTAATTTTAATAGTTATAAATTGATTCTAAGAAATAAGACTTTAAAATCAAAAGGCAAAAAACAAAGAACTATGAAAACATACATACAAAAAATTTTAAAACATAATCCACAAAAAAGCATTTTTAGTAAGTTAAAATATTTACCTTTTTTATTCTTTTGCAAGGACATCTAAGTTTTACCTTCTGATTACAATTAAAGGGGCATTCACCCGGATGACACATCTCTTTGCATCTATGACCACAAGGAAGCTATAATAAAACCAAATGAAGCATTTACATTATTTCTATATTGGCCATACCATCTTTGTTCCCCCAAAACTATAAGATAGAGTATATCACCGCAGGGTCAATTAACCATAGCTAATTTGTGAATCTTAGTTGTGGTTGTTTTTGCTGGGGGGGAGGGGAGGGCTGTATAAATTACACAAAATAACACAAAAATGTTACATATTTTCCTCTACTATAAGGGTATGTAGAGCACATCTGAAAACCACTGCTGAAGCTAGTTATAGCCATGTGATTAAGTTTTAGTCAATAAAACATAAACATAAATCATTTGTGTCTTAAAGCATTTGAAAACATGCACTCATGCTCTATCCTTGCTCAGGAAATGCTGACATCTGGAGCAGTAAGGGAAAGCATATGTCAAAGAGAACAAACAGCACTGCTAACTTAGCTTTCTGGGTGAATCCACAATATTCACAGTAACCTACATGCCCTGCACTGTCCCATGAGAAAATCTTCCTTGTGCTTATGCCACTATAGTGTTGTATCTTATTAAACTTGCTTAAATTATATTTTAAAACATCTATTCTAGCCATTATACATTAAGACATAGTCTTTATATAGCCAGAACTCAGTAATTGCCAAGATTTACGGTGTTCCTTGTTTTTAACAAAAACTATATTCCATTTTGTGTTCCATTTCAATCCCAATGAGAATTACTCTCCTTATAAAGCATTAAGCTTGTACTACAATATCTGTAGATAAAAACCATCCCATTATCAATGGCATTATTATTCAGTCTTCCGTATTCTAAATGCCTTGTCCTCCATGCAGTGTCTTCCATATTCTAAACACATGTTCTAAGACAAGTTATTAACTTGGTTAATATTCAGATAAAGCTCTAAAGTTTTATCCTCTTTATCGCCATTTTATGTACAAACAATTTGAGTGACAAGATGATTAAATTAACACACCCAAGTAAAAAATAAGAAAGCAACATGTGGATAGTAAAATCAGAAATAACTCTAAAAATTTATAGATGCAGCTCAGTGTAAAGGTGCAATTCTTAGTGGGATCTTTGTACTATCACTTAACTACAATACAATCCAACAGTCCAAAAGACACAGTGCGCAGGCCGTCCCAGCTTGTGTTCTAAATTGGATCAGGTATATACAGTTCTTATTTAGATGAGCAGTCACCTCGTGTACAATTTCTAGTCTCTGAAAACCCACTAGAGCGCACCTATCAGTCAGAAACAACTCTACAGCAATGAGGTTTGTTTAGTGCAAGATAAGGCTTATTTCATATTGTATGTGTAGCCAAGTAAAGGTTACTGTGATGAAGAATTTGTTTCAATCATTTTAAAGGAGGGACATTTATATAGCATTAAAGGGCAAGTGGGAAGTTGTCCTTAAACCCAAAACTCTATATTTATCAGAGAATCAGTGGGATTAGAAGATGATCAAACTATTCTTATAGCTCTGGCTTTCATTCACATTAAATAAGCATGGAATAACTGCTTAATAGGGAGCTCTAGTGGTGAAGCAACTAAGGAGTTGCACTGTTAAATGTCTCTGATGGTTCAAGTTGACCAGTATCTCCAAGGTAGAAAGGACAATCTCCTCTTGCAAAATTTACAGCCATGGAAACCAATGGAGGGTCATTCTGAGTAATCCAAACACCTGGGCAATAAGCTATATTAGTTAATTTCCTAGTAACAATCAGGGAACCAGGTATAAGATACAAAGAAAGAGAAAACGCAGTCTCAGCCCACAATACATAGGGAATGGGCAAGAAAGGGGGGAAAAAATATTATCAGGGTATCAAAATTTGTCACAATTTTATATTTTATCTTTCAGCATAAAATAACCACTCCAGCTTCAAAAGATCTGACGTAGGTGATCCCAGATCAGTGATGGTATTACCATCACAAAAGAACGTCATTTACAAGAAAAAATACAAAAACAACCCTTTCTACTGCTGTCAAGTTGATTCCTACACATGGTGACCCTCCACTGGGTTTCTGAAGCTGTAAATTTTTACAGGAGGAAGCTATTTCTCTCTCATAGAGTGCCTAGTGGATTTGGACCAACTGATGGATTGGGGAAAAAACCTGACTTTTAGGTTAACAATCCACTCATTACACACTATGCCACTAATGTTCTTAAAAAGCTTACTAGAAATTTTAATTCTTGGGCTCCTTTCCAGACTTAGAATATTAAAAAATATGGTGGGGTACAGACTTTCGTTCACAGGGTCACTGTGAGTGGCCTATGACTCAACGGCACTTAACAACACAGAGAGACCAGTTGGCCTAGTGGACGGAAAGTGATGCTACCAAGCCAAAGGTGGGTGACTCTGATCTGCAGCCTTCAGGTCTGTTTTTAATTGGATTTGTTTCAACATTCTTGTAGGTCATATAGCCCTGATGTGTGGACGTGCCATACGGAGGCAACATGTGGTTGCTGTGAAGCTGAACACTGTGACACTGATGGGTCAAAAGCGGTAACGGTTACCCATGGTGGACAGTGTTTGGTGGAGCTCCCCGATTAAAACAAGCTTGGAAGCAGAAGTGGCATCCACTTCCATACATAGCTTGCTTCCAGAAATCCTATGACCCTGGAGAAAGGATGAAAGTCACGCAAGTGTTAAAGCACTCCTTAACAGAAAAAAAGGTAGGAGGCATCTCACTCCCTGATTTCAAATCCTACTACACTGCTGTGGTGGTTAAGACAGCATGGTACTGGTACAATGACAGACACATAGATCAATGGAATAGAATTGAGAATCCTGAAATCAGCCCATCTACTTGAGCACCACAACAAGATAAAGGTAAATAATCCAACTGAAAAATGGGCACAGGATATGAACAGACATTTCACCAAAGAAGACATTCAGATGGGCCAACAAGCACATGAAGAAACGTTCAAAATCCCTAACTCTAAGAGAAATGCAAATCAAAACAACTATATCATCTCACCTCAGTTAGAATAGCAAAATTTAATAGAACAGCAAACAACAAATGCTGGCAAGGTTGGGGAGAAACTGGAACCCTTATTCGCTGTTGGTGGGAGTGCAAAATGGTGCAACCACTGTGGAAGGCGATAATGGCGCTTTCTCAAAAAGTTGCAAATAGAGATACCATTCGACCCAGCAATTCCACTACTGGGAATACACCCCAAAGAGACCATAACTGACATCCAAGCAGATATATGCACACCCACGTTTACTGCAGCTTTGTTCACCATAGCAAGGAGGTGGAAACAACCCAGGTGCCCATCCACAAACGAATGGGTAGAGAAGCTGTGGTATATTCACACAATGGAATACTACGCTGCATTGAAAAACAAGGAACTCATGCAAGATTATTCAAAATGGGTGACCCTGGAGGACATTATGCTGAGTGAAGTATCTCAGTCACAAAAGGACAAATACTACATGGTACCACTGTTGTAGAATGGGACTGATAGCAGGGTTGGGGTAAGACTGAGAAAAACTGGATAAATTATGTATACTGCATTGAAACAGATGAGGGAGAGAATAATTTAAAAGCGATATATGATAGGATATTATAGTTATCACAAGAGTCCAGAATTAAGGGTCCATAGTGGAGTGTACCTGGGGTGGTGGGAGGGGTGTGTGGGGATTGTATACCAAAGAAAGAATTTTTCTTTTACTTTTTCAAAGAGAGGAGCAAACTGGGGGTGAGGGGGGAGGGAAGGAGGCCTGGGCAGGGAGAAAAGAGCAACAGCGAATGAATGGTAACCCAAAATCTCTGTAAATGTTCATTAAAATGATTAAAATTTAAAAAAAAAAAAGTCATGCAAGTGTTGAGGACTTTTCATTTATAGTCGCTATGAGCTGCCTACGATTTAATGGCACTTAACAATAACAACAACAGTAATCTATATTTGAGTGAGCCCCAGAATTGATTTTGACAATCACTACTGAGTAACCTTACCGCAGAAAGAATACATTTTACTAGACACTACGAATATCAGCTATTAACTCTTAGATCATTTCAAACTATAACAGTGACTGAGATTTTTCCAAGGCTAAGTATTTCTTTTTCAAGAAAATCTAAGACACGACAGAAATATTACAAAGCTCCAGAATGGTTCAGAGAATCAAAAACTCACACACATGGACAATGAGGAGTAGATTAAGCATTAGGCTACTAATGAGAAGGTCAGTAGCAAAAATCTCCAAAGAGGCAGCCTGTTTCTGTTAAGAATTATAGCCTTGGAAACCTTGCTGGGGCAATTCTACTCTGTACTACAGGGTTTGTTTTGAGTTAGAAACTACTTGATGGAAACAGGTGGAATGGAGGACAAATTATTAAGCAGTATCCATTCTGATGGTTTAGTGGTAAGGAGCTGAAGTCCCAACCTAAAGGCACAATGTTCAAATCTACTAGCTGCTCCCAGGGAGAGAGATGAGCAATCTCCTCCTATGCAATTAAAACTGCCCATGCAAACCTGCTGAAAGGTTAACTATGAGTTCTGACACAACAGTTCATAACATCATTACCCACTCATCTATTCTATCAATATAACAGCATCACAATTTAAGCAGTCAAAACAATGCTTACACATTAAAACTATTATACACCAATGAGTTGGAATCCATTCACAGCTAACCCTACAGCAGGCTTTCCGAGAATGTAAATCACATGGGAAATCATATTTCTCCCAATAAGCAGCTGCTATAAACTGCTTACATTTGAGTTGGCAGCACAACTCCTTACCAACAGGCCACCAGACTGAAAATGAGCAAACTCTGTATTTAGTGGCCATGCTTCTAACTGCTAAGGCATACCAAGTTGCAATATCAGATGAAAATGAATACATTCTCAACCACCTATTACCGAGAATCTGAATTTAGACAAAACGTTTTTAGCAAGGAAAATGTAAGAGTTGAATTCAGAAAACTAAATTTGAAGTATTTCATTCTTCTATTGTTTTGACAGTAAAACCAGGATTATAAAAATAATCTGATTTTGTTTCAAATGGTCTCTATTTTATAATTTATAACTTTTAAAAAATTCCAAGGTTTAATTTCCAACAATTCTAAAGCAAACATTAAAAGAAAGGTAGTTAAAACAGTTGTGAAAAAGAATTATAATTTATATTTAATAACAGATTTCTATATTTAAGAGTTAATTTGTCATTTCATCCTATCTCTAAATAGGATTGAAAAATTGTCTATCTAATGCTAAGATAACCGAAATACCGCAAACAAATGGCTTTAACAAAAAAAAAATTTATATGCTTACAGTTTAGGAGACTAGAAGTGTGGGTTCAGGTTGCCAGCACTACTCACCCACTGTTGTTAAGTCAATTCCAGGCCATAACGACCCCACAGGACAAAGGAGAATTGTGCTATAGTGTTTCTAAGACTTAAATACTTATGGAAGCACACTACTACATCGTTCTTCTTTGGAGCAGCTATTAGGTTTGAACTGTTAGGAGCCATGGACTCCTATCCACCGGACCACTCAGGCTCCTTATGCCAGCTCTAGGAGAAGGCTTTCCTCTAGTTGGTTCTAGGAGGTCCTTGTTTCTCCTGAGCGGCTCCTCCAGACAATCATCAAGATATCTGGCATTCATTTTACATCACTTCGGTTTGCTGGCTTTCCTCTAATCTAGGGCTTCAACCCAGTTCATCCCAGTTGATCCCTTGCTGAGAATTTGCATTTCCCCCAGACACACTGAATCAGAAGACAAACTGCATTGGGTAAATCTGCTGTCAAGGACTTCTCCAGAGTGCTAAAGAGCAAAGATGTCAGTCTGGAGACTGTTGAGCCTGATCCAAACCATGGTCTTCACAATTACTTGCTATGCTATGCATCAGAGAGCCAGATAATGACTAAGGATGACAAGAAGCATCAATGCCTTTCAGTCATGGTGCTGGAGAAAACTGAACATACCATGGACAGCCAAGAGAACAAACAAGTCTGTCCTGGAGACGGTAAAACCAAGTCATTCCATGAATGTAAGGATCTTGAAGCTCTGTCTCACATACTTTGGGCATGTTACCAGAAGGGAGCAGTCCTTGGCAAGGGATATCATGCTTGGTAGAGTGGAGGAACAGCACAAGAGAGGAAGACCCTGGACAAGACGGACTAATACAATCACTGAGATAGGTGTGTCAGAAACAGTACAGACTGGCTCAGGGCAGGGTGTAGAGCTGTTTACATAAGGTCGCTTTGAATCGCAAGCAACTCCATGGTACATTAACAACAAACATAATGAATCATAATGTTCATTTTACCTGGTGATTTTTTTATGTACCTAAGATTCTTATGTGTATAAGAACCACCTGGAGACCCTTTTAAAACTATAGCCTCTGATTCAGAATATACAAGTGGAAAGGCAAATTCTCAGGAGGAGGATAAGCCAGAAAGAACTGGTCTGAAGTTCTAATCTTTTTTTATATCTCAAAAAAGACTCACTCAAAATACAATGTACATTAAAGTGGCACAACGAACATTACAAAGAAAACCTACTCCCAAAGAGGTCTATATCCAGGCACTAATCAAGGTCATGATTTCTATCACTTATTGGGGCAGGGGAAGACTACAGTTTAACCCATAACCCTGCCTAAAGACAACAAATCTAAAGAAAGGCATACTGCTAGTATATCTGCAAGTTTAAACACACACTTTTTTTGGCATGTCCACTTAAATCAAGTAATTTCCACTGTCCCATCCACACTCTGGCTAGCAGTGAGAAGAATGGGAATTCTAGAAACCCTTAATAGTGCTCCTGCAAAAACCTATACCTAGAGTGAACAGAGCAGAGGACCACTGCATGGTTTAAAATTCAGAAAGACTGTGTCAGAGTTGTATCCTTTCCCCAAACCTATTAAATCTGTATGCTGAACAAATTACTTGAGAACCTGAACTCTGTGAAAAAGAATGTGGCATCAGGATTGGAGGAATTATCAATAACATTCAATATGCAAATGATACAACCTTGCTTGCTGAGAGAGGACATAAAACACTTCCTGCAAAAGATCAAAAACTAACCAAATGGATTATATCTCAACATCAAGAAACTTAACCACCAATAAATAAAGAGTTCTTGATCTGTTTATATTTTAACAAAAATTCTCAGTGGACAAAGAGACACCATGATGAACTCTCTATCTGAACTGCCTATGAGCAAAGAGTTCTTGATCTGTTTATATTCTAAGCCTGTATCACATTTTGGGGGCTAAGCATTAGAGTAAAACTGGTATCTTTATTATTATTTTTCTTAAGCTTCTAAGAAGTTTATTTCTACTTCTAATATGCCAAAATTTCAAAGTGTATCCACTTTACCTATAAATGTTACACCCTTTGATATCAATCACATTTCAAACTAACTTATTGGTGGGTCCAAAACCAAAATGAACAAAAACATCCCAGAATCAAGATGAGGTTGACCAAATAAGGAAAGAGAAAATCTAAATCAAAAGAAACCATGAACAAGGAATATATCCTAAAAGGCGCCACTAACACTTACCTCTTTAGGGCACTGATTTTTACAGCAACTTAGGAGGTTCTTTTCATTTATATCAGCTGTGGTTATTTTTCTGAAAATAGAAGAGGTATGTTTTTTATGACATTTATACCAAAGTAGGACATTTAAAACAAAGTTTATTTTATGGCACAATCATTAAAAAAAAAATTTCACAATTTTAAAAGTCATAAAATTATTTTAGTTATTTCATTTTCCTCAACAGTGTTTTGAATTGTGTCACTGTCTGTAACAGTTATCTTCAAATTATTTAACTGAGTTAACTCACACCATCCACCCTTTATCTTCAATCAAATATCAAATGCCAAGAGCTATGGATGCAAGAAGTGAATATGAACAAACACAAAGTATCATCTGTGCCTGGCCTCCCTTTAATACTTTCTATTAGTAGTAGCTCCCCTTACAAACCAACCATTTCTGTTCTGAGCTTCCTAAAGCATGTAAATGTTTCTGTGTAATGTCAAGTCAGAACTGACTCAAAGCTGACCTTCCAGCAGGTTTTAAGAGGCAATAAATCACACAGAAGGAGACTGTCCACCTTTCTCCCACAAAGCAGTGGTGGATTAGAATTGTGTGTCTTTGAGTTGGTAGTGCAACTCCTTACCACTAAGTCAAGGCATCTAAATAGGAAATTAAAATAAGTGGCTTAATCTCTTCAAATTAATGAATTTAAGCTATTCAGTAGAAAATGCAATAAGCTTATTAGAAAGGCACCCCGCCCCTGTCCCTGCTGACCCTCATCAGTTGTTTTTTCAGAAGCACTTAATGTAAGAAATCAATTAAGATCAGGAAGACATTCCATTTGTGCTGTTTATACATGATTAGTTTGTAATTTTTAAAAAGTCACAAACATAAGGCAATGAAATAATCTAATAAATTGTTGAACAAAACACAATGGACAACCAATAAGTAAGAGGGTGGCACAATGGCTAAAGTCCTCTGGATGATAACCAAAAACTCAGCAGTTCAAATCCACTAAGGAAGAAAGAGGTGGCAGTTTACTCCTTTCAGTATTTATAGTCTTGGAAACACTAGGGAAGTAGTTCTACTGCTACTATGTACTATGGTTGTTGTTAGGTGCCATCAAGTTGAGTATAACTCATAGCAACTCTATAAACAGCAGATCTGACCCTGTCCTATCCTGTGCCATCCTCACAACCTGACACACTTGAGCTCATTGCTGCAGTCATTGAATCAATCCTTTTCATTGAGGGTCTTTCTTACTTTCACTGACCCTCCACTTTCCCAAGCAAGATGTCCCTCTCCAAGGAATAACCTCTCCTGGAAATATGCCCAAAGTATGTGAAATGAAGCTTCACAATCTTTCCCTCCAAGAAACACTCTGGCTGCACTTTCTCTAAAACATACCTGGTTTGTTCTTTTGGCAGTCCATGGGATATTCAGTGCTCTTCTCCAACACCACAATTCAAAGGCATCAACTCTTCTTCTGTCATCTTTAATCCTTATCCAGCTCTCAAAGGCATAGCAAGTAATTTAAAAGGCCACAGCCTGAATGAGGCATACCTTAGTCTTCAAACTGACATGAATGCTTCTCAATAATTTGAAAAGGTTTCTGACCACAAACTTTCCCAGTGCAGTATGTCTCCTGATCTCCTAACTGCTTGTACTAAATGCAATGATTATGGATACAAGTCAGATGAAGTTGCTAACTCTGTCCTACTGCTGTTGTTAGGTGCCATCAAGTCAAATATGACACACAGAGACCCTATGAAGAGCACAACTAAACTCTGTCCTATCCTGTGTCATCTTCATCATCTCTAATACACTTGAGTCCACTGCTGAAGTCATTGTTTCAGTCCATCTCATCAGGGGTCTTTCTTTCACTGACCCTCTATCTCTACAAGCATGATATCCCCTTCTAAGGAACAGGCTCATCTAGCTACATGCCCATCCTTGCCTCTAAAGAACACTATGCCTGTACTTTTTCCAAGATATGCCTATTTTATTCTTTGGCAGGGCATGGGATATTCAGTATTATTCTCTAGCATCATAACTCAAAGGCATCAACTTTTCTGTTGCCATTACTATCTCTTTGATGAGTAGCAGGTGACTGAAAAGACCATAGTCTGAATCAGGTGCATCTTGAGTCTTCAAATTGGCATCACTGCTCTTCAGCATTTCCAAAGGTTCCTTGACAGCACACGTGTCCCACGCAATACACTTCCTGATTTCTTGAATGGTGGTACTGAGAGTTGTGCTGATTGTTGATCCAAGGAAGATGAAATCATTGACAGCTTCAATCCCTTCTCCATGTATCCTACTGTTGACTGTGGGTCCTGTAGCGAGGACCTTTGTTTTTTAATGTTGAGATATAATCCATATCGAAGGCTATAGTCCTAAATCTCCTGCAGTAAAGCGTTTCATACCCTCATCACTTTCAGCTAGCAAATTTGTGTTATATGTATAATGCCTAATCATATATTCCTTTTAAGCAGTTCTTTTCCTCATCTGTTCCAATGCAGTGTACATTATCTATCCGCTCTTATCCTATTCTCTTCCCAAGCCCCTATGTCAATCCTGCTTTGTACCAGTGCTATGCAGTATTTGTCCTTTTGTGACTGAGATCACAAAATGTTTCATTCAGCATAATGTCCTTTCACTTATTCTTACTTTCTTGTTTTTTCTTCAACAGATAAGTCTGTTAAAATTTATTATTAAGTCAGTCTTTACAGTTGTTTCTGGCAGGTGCTACTGAGATGATTCTGACTCACCATGAACTCATGAGACAGAGGAGAGCAGTCCCATAGTGTCTTCTAAGCTGCAATCATTAGAGAAGCAGATTACCAAGTCCTGCTAGTAGAACACTGTGAGGTTCAAATCTCAACATTCTGCTCAACAGCTGAGCATTTAACCATTATACCACCAGTACTCCCGATCAATTAAAACCATCATCTTAAGTAAGTATATTAAAGTAGCAATACTCTTAATATTTAGAATTTCCTTGACAGAGTTTCACTGAATATAACAACGTTCTCTTCTGATTCTTTCAAAAGTCACAAGTATTTTCCATTTTTGTAAGTATGGGTGGTCCTCGTTGTACTCACAGTGACTAGAATTTTGTTCTAGTTACTCTATAATTAATGATTTATTAACTTTCAAGAGTTCCATCTTTTATGTATAATTTCTAAAAAAATGTCATAAAGCATAAAAGGAAAACATTTACTTGTGTAATAAATCATGGTAATAAATCACAGAGTTAAATATAAATCAAATTATCAAGATAAATAACAAGACTGAAGAATTCTGTATAGAAACCTATCTCTTCATCTGTACAAAAGGAAAAATAAATCCTCAGTGGCTAAAGTAACAGGTGGTTTCAATTTAAATGTATCCACACTTCCCATAAAAAAATCAGACAGCTCTTAATAACAAAAGCGTGCATATCCCCTGACTTCAGAATAAACAGAGATTTCTTTCAAACCTCAAATTATCTCTAAGTAGGGGAGGAAGTCTTCAGCAGAGGTCATGCTCCCAGCTGCAAGTCCTCACAGGGAGCTAGAGTGACAAAGTAGAGGCAGTGGTGGTTCAGTGGTAAGACTCCTCGCCTCCACGTGGGACACTTGGGTTCACTTCAAATGCACCTCATGTGCAGCTATCACTCTGCTGTTAGCAGATGTCTGTGCACTGCTATGAGCAGAACAGGCTTTCACAGAGCTTCCAGCCTAAGAAAGACTAGGAATAAAACCTGGCAAGTAACTTCAGAAAACTGGGTTAGGATTTGGGAACTCGGATTTCAAAGCTTTTCACCAGTATTAGAATTGATGAAACCAGTTTCATATGACTAATTAGAAGAGGTCATGGCACTATGCATATCACGACTAATGTCAAATGGATTTTAGCTGAAAACAACAATTGCCAGAAAGATGCCTATTTGTGTTTTAATAAGTGACGCACCTGACTGTGGATCACAACAAATTATGGCTAAAATTGAAAAGACTGGGAATCCCAAAACACTTGGCACGTGCTCACATGAAATCTATACCTACATCAAGAAGGTGCTGTCCAAATACAGCAAGGTTACACTGCCTGGTTCAAAGTCAAGAAAACAGTATATTAGGGATATATCCTTTCTCCATACCTTTTCAATCTATATGCGGAAGAGATTACTTGAGAAGCTGGACTTTATGAAGAATGTGCCATCAGGCCTGGAGAAAGACTCATCAACAACCTGCAACATGGAGATGACACAACCCTGCTACTCTAACTGTGGAGGACCTGAAGCATTTGTTGCAGAAGATCAAGGACTGCAGCCTTCAGTATCGACCGAAGTTTAACATTAGTAAAACAAACATCCTCACCACTGGGCCAATAGGCAGCACCATGATAGAAAGTGAGAAGACTGAGGTTGTTAATAATTTACTCAGATTCCATAATCAACACCATACCCTTGGTACCAGAAGTCAGGAAATCAAAAGACATGTTGCACTGGGAAAATCTGCTGTAAAGGACCTCTCCAGAGTGCTAAAGAGCAACGATGTCAGTCTAGAGCGTAAGATGCATATGATATAAGCCATGGTTTTCTCAACTGCTTGCTATACATCTGAGAGCTGGTAAATGTCTAAGGATGACATGAAGCCTTTGGGCTGTGGTGCTAAAGAAGAATAATGAACTTTGTATTGACTACCAAAAGAACAAAAAGATCTGTCCTAGATAGGGTGAAATAAAGTTGCTTCTTGGAGGCAAAGATTTTGACACTCCATCTGACCTACTTTGGCCATGCTATAAGAAGCAGCCAGTCTTTGGAGAAGGACATCATGTGTGGAAGGGTAGAAGGTCACACTGTAAGAGAGGATGAGATGGACGGACACAGTCACTGTGACAATAGAGGCATTTGTGTCAGAGATGGTAAGGTAGGCTCCTGATAGTGCAGTGTTCAAAGCCATTATTCAAAGCATCGTTATAAACTCAACTCAACTCTACAGCATATAATAGCAACTATTAAGTTAGCCCTTGGTTAGAATATGGAAATGTGAACTTCAAGACTTTTCACCATTACCAGCACAGATAAAAAACAGTTTCATAGGACTAAATATGGTTATGCTGAACATCTATTTTCCTTTTCAAAGTGGAAATTTTGGCATATGGCACCAAAGACTACATAAATAATAAGAAAATCAAACCCACTGTTATTGAACTCATTCTGGTTCACAGTGATTTTACAGATCACATTAGAACTGTATCTATGGAATTTATAAGGTGGTAAATCTTTATGGAGCAGACTCTTAGATCTTTCTCTCAGGTGAGTTCAAACCACTGACCTTTTGGTTAACAGCCCTTCACTATGGTACGAAGACTCCTTGAACCTGAATATCTAAAGACTCTTCCTAGCTAACACTTCACATCTGGTATTACGTGTTGCTAGGAGAAATACGCCAGGAAGGAGTTCGTGTGGTACAATGTGCTAATCTTGTGCTGTTAACTGAAAGTCAGCTAATTCAAAGGAAAGAGATGAGGCACTCGTCTACTGTAAAGGTTTACAGCCTTAGAGATACATTAGAGGGTTACAATGCATCAAAACTGATCCAGTGGCAACTGGTTTGGGTTGACATGAGGTTAGTGCCCAGAGAAGGACATCATTCTTGTAACAGTCAGCAAAATAGAAGATGATCTTCAATGAGATGGACTAACACAGTGGCTGTACCAATGGGTTCCAGCAGAGCAGTAACTAAAGATGATGAAGGACTGGGCAGTGTTTCATTCTGCCATTCACAGGGTCCCTATGGTTCAGGCTGACTCCACTCTAAAAGGGATTTGCTGAAAATCATGTTCCCTTTGCTATACCAAGTCATAACCATTACAGTATTTGTATGCTGAGTTTTGTGAGTCTTACTGTTGGCTTTAAGGGACTTCTCCAAAGTACTAAGGTGGAATAATGATGTCTGTTTAAAGACTAAGGTGTGCCTGATTCAGGCCAACATCTTTTCAATCACTTGCACTTGCTGTAGTGTTGAAAGCTGGACAATGAATAAGGATACCAGAAGAATTAACTGATGTCTTTCCATTGAGGTGCTAGAGAAGAGTACTGAATATCCCATGGACTGCCAAAAGAACAAACAAATATGTCTTGGAAAACGTGTGATCAGAATGTTCCTTAAAAGCAAAAAAGACAAAGCTTCATCTCCTATACTTTGGGCATGTTGTTACAAGAGGATATTCCTTGAAAAGGGACATCATGCTTGGAAAGGTGCAGGGTCAGTAAAAGAAAGGAAGACAATAAGAAAGACTGAGACAGTGACTGCAGCAACTGGCTTGAGTGTGTCACAGACTGTGAGGATGGCACAGGATAGGACAAAATTCAGGTATACTAATCTATTCATAGTGTCGCTATGGGTAATACTCAAATTGATAGCACCTAATAACAACACATCACTGCTAATATAAATAAGTGAAGGAGAAGGGAAAGCTACCTCGTACATTAAAATACTAACTAGAAATGTAAAAGGGATGAGGAATTTAGAAAACGAACATCTGGTAACAAAATTCAACCAATTAATACTAAAATCATCAATGAACTAGTACACTAATATGTTAAGGGTGATGAAGAATTGACTATTTACATAGTGTCAATTTATCTTTCCACAAAAATATATTCATTCCAAAGAGAAAAACAGTAATTTCATAGTAAAGAAACCTGGTGAACACCAGAGCCAAACAGACAGCATTTTAACCAACATCACCAGTCATTTAAAGGAAGAGGAGGAAAAAAAAAAGATCTCTAAGTATAAATAAAAGTCTCAATCAATTATGTTCAGTACCTTAATTTTAAAGCAACATTTCAATCTGTATTTTATAAAAAGGGGAGCCTTGGTGGTGTAGTCTATAGAGTTGCACTGCAACAAATCCATAGGTGGTGGTACATCAACAGATCCAAAGAATAACGATGGTCAGCCTCCTAACATGCAATGTACAGCCTCCAAAATCCTATAGAGGTCAGCTATGAATCACTTCTAACTTGACAGAAATAAGTTTGAAGAGTTTTTTTTAAAATATAATTTTAAAAATAAGATTTCTAGTTAAAGAAAGATGACCGAGCAACAATGAATGAATGGAAATCCAAAATCTCTGTAAACGTTCATTAAAATAAAATAAAATAAAATTTAATTAAAAAAAAAGAAAGAAAGATGACCAAAATGTTCCAAGGCTGTAAATTGTTACTGAAGAGACTGTCCACCTTTCTTCCATGGAGCAGCTTATTCTGACCTTTTAGTAAGCAGGCTGAAAACCCACACAACACATCACCAGGGTTCCCTCTATTTAGGAATTGTGTGTATTAAGTCAGAAATGACCCATATCTGCATCCAGTGAGCTTTCCGAAGCAGTAAGTGACATGGGCGAGACTGCCCATCTTTCTTATCTCAGAGCAGCTGTTGATTTGAACTGTGTATTTGTGTTCATAACACAATTTATTATTACCTCTAAGCTACCAGAGCTAGAAGCTAAAAATTAGATAAAGAATGCAATCTAAGATTGGTAAAGCTGGGAATATGAAAAAGGGAATGTAGGTCTGGGATCACTCACTCAATCTCTTTCACCAGTATTGTTTGCGAATATTGCTAAAATGCCTTCCAAGCTCCTTCTATAACATAGCTAAAGCTAGAAATTAGAATACTTTCTTTTCAAACTTTTAAAAAATAATTTTTACATCTGAAAAGAAGTCAAATGCACTGCCATTTCAAATTTAACAAAGCACAAGTCTAGAGTATAACTGACAAAAACAAACAATACTGTGAATGGGCACTTTTCAAAATGCAATAACTAAAACCAAAAAAGCACCATATTCCCAATTTTAATTTGAGTAAACTGTATTTGTGCTCTGGTGGCCTAGTGGTAAGAAGCTGTGCTACAATTCCAAAGGCACGTGATTCGAGACCACCAGCTGCTCCAGAGAAGGCTGGGCAATCTCCTCCCATGAGATTAACTGCCTTTTAAAACCCGCCGGAGGGTCATCTACAGGGTCAGTTCTGACTCTGTGGTAAACAAGCAGCTCTATTTATGACAGGCCCCTTTACAGACTTAGAAAAAAATAGAGTTGAGAAAGTTAGAACAGTTAGATCACAAATTAAGCAGAAATTGGACTTTTCCCCTCCATAATATAATTTACAAGTGAAATGTACATGTTTTTAAAAGATAAGCTGATCAGAGCCTTGTATGATAAATGTTATTACTGCAAAATTTATAATTAGCAATGGTCTAACTTTAAACTAAAATACACTAAAAAAATTGTGCTGCATAAAAAAAAAACTATGGGCATGGCAATTTTTGACGTAGCAAAATTCTAGTTTGTCATTGTTATTAAAATAGTAACACTGGGGTTTTGGTTAGAGTATTTCTCTTCCATTTAAAAAGTTATACAACTTTTTCCTAACAAGTTTTTATGCAGAATCTTCAAGTGGAATTGTTCTGCTTGGCCCCAGGGTGGAATAACGAGAAGGTAAAGTGTATACTATACTTTTCCATTCCAGGTTTCACTGGAAAATCTAGGGCCCCTACTGGCACAGTTCATAAACAGTTATGCAGCTAGCCAAAAAATGACTGGAGATGGGGGGAAGAACAGGAAAATTGAACACTGCATTGGAGCAGATGAACAGAGGAACTATCTGAAAGGAATATATGATTACACATATGTATGATAACAATCTGGAATAGGAGGACCTTGCAAAGTATCTGGGGGGGGGAGGAAGGAAAATGTGCAACAATTAATGAATGCAAATTTAATCTTTCTGCAAATTTTCAAGAATCACAATAAACCCCCCCTTTAAAAAAAAAAAAGTATTTCTTTCATCCACTTACCTACACTCTACATACAGGCTTGTGATCTTGCAATGACATTTTATTCTAAGCATTTGCACACAAGGGGGGCATTCTCCAGGGTGACAGGGCAAAACACATGGATGAGGACAACCCAGTGGCCGTGATTTAGAGCATCCTTCTTCACAATGAAGACATTCTGGGCCAGCCTGATAAATAGGAAAATAAATCACCTAATTACAGAAGGCCAATATATCTACTTAGTACACTTATGAAATTACTCAATTAGGGAAAGAAGAACAGCCAGCTACTTAATATATTGAATATTCTTCAATATAACTAAAATGGTGGTGTTCTTTAAATGAAATATATTCAAGATAAGTTACTGAGGTATCTGTCACCTCTAATGTTTAATAATTTAACCAGTGTCAGAATCTACTAAAGAAGATTCAAGATTTTTACTGCAGGATACATACATGAGATATTAAGTCAAAGGTCTATAAACATAGATGTTGTTGTTGTTGTTGTTGTTGTTGTGTACAACTGAGTTGAAACCAACTCACAGCGGACCCTTCCCCCCCAACTTTCCAGAGGCAGTATATTACACAGGAGATGGCCCATCCCCCTCCCGCAGAGCAGCTGGTGGATTCGAACCACATGCCTCTGGGATTGCAATGCAGCTTCTTAACACTAGGCCAGCAGTTAAATATTTTACTATCTGCTAGAGTTTACATTAAAGAGATTTTATATTCCTACATATATGTTATAAATCAAACTTCTTTAAAACTTTTTTTATCTAATTAAAATCCTACTTGGAATGAAATTTCTATTACATTAAAGCACACAGTATTATTGTACAGCATGTCTTAAATCCATCTCTTTCAAGATAAAAAAAGAGATTAAACAAGTAATCAAGTAGAAATAGTGGAAGAGAGATGCCAAGTCACGTATCACCCAACAATAGCAAGCTCTCCCTAGATCAAGTGCCCTGGATTCGGACTTCTCATAAGAAAAGAAATTGCTGTTTGGAGAAGCCACCACTTGTGGTACTTCTATTTCAGAAGCAATAGAGAAACAGGACCTAGCTCTGGTAGGCCAATCTCAAAGGTCAAGCCTCTGTAGCAGTTTGAGTTCACCAGCAGCTCTTTAATAATTATAAATAAAGAGGTTATGTTTTAGAACACAATTATGTAGTTGTTGTTATGTGCCATAGAGTCGCTTGCAACTCATAGCAACCCTATGTACAACAGCCCTAAATTCTGCTCTATCCTGTGCCAATCACACTGCCTGACACACCCAT